AAATAAAATAAAAAAATAAAATAAAATGAAAGTATACTTGTTACTCATGTTACAATTATTTTTGTGTGTTGTATATTGTTCTACAAATTCTATTTATAAACAAATAGAACTTATGATTAATAATCCAAAAGAATGTACAGAAGATGATATAAAATATATAGATAATGAAGTTGTAATAATGTACTGGATGTGGACTAACCATTTTTTAAGATACTTAAAAATTAAACTATATATTTATGAGCATTCTGACATATATAAAAATATAAAGGACTCTATTACAGACAGTGGTGAACTATTTAAAGATTCTTTTATTATTTATAATGATAAAAAAGAATTTATAAAAAATGCTTCTAATATTTTGTTTAATGAAAAATCATTAAACAAAATTATAGAAACATATATATCTCTTCCCAAAGGAATAAATTTTTTTCAAGATTTACCCCTTCAAGAATTAATACGAATTTTTAAAATAGAAAAAGATAATCTAATAAAATCTTATAAAAAATTGGGCATGTTCGAAGAATTCCGAGATGTATTGAATTCAAAAAATAAAAATTATAATATGTTACTAGAAAATATAGGTACACATAATACTGACATTTGGTTTCATGACAATATCGATAGTACAGTAAATAATAGTGCTAATCAAAATGCATTAAATAAGGTAATAGCTTTTAACGAAATGGATATACCTATAATAACACCTTTAAATGATAATTATTGTGATAAGAACAAATATAATGATTTGATTTAAATAGTATTAATAGTAAAAAAACAAAAATGATATAAAAGGTAAAAAAAAATAGAACAAATGATTTTTTTTTTTTTTTTTTTTTTTTTTTTTCCGTTAAGGTCATTATACTAATAAAAACTATATATATATATATATATATATATATATAATTTAGTATATTATTAATATAACATGCATTATGTACATGTGTAAAATACTTTCGCTTTTTGTTTTCCTTTTTTTTTTATTTTGAATTTATTATGTATTAATATATATTTATGTACATACATATTATGGCAGTTTTTATTTTTTTTATGTATATTTATATAGAGTCGATAATTTATATTAAAACAAATAAGTTAATTGTAAAAATAGTAGTTTTGTTAAAATTCAAATGGTTTGTTCATTCACACACGGACGTATATATATATATATTATAAGCGTACACAACTCATAACTATTAACAACAACAAATTATTTACCCAGAAACATAAACAATGGACAATAATCAGTAACTAAACATAGGTGTGTATTTAACAAAATTAAAAGGAAAGTTATTTATTTCTCTATTGGATAAAAAAACTTTGGAACTATATGTTCTCTTAATTGCATTTGACTTTTACTAAAATTGATAAAAAAATAATCTCTGATTTTAGAATACCATTTAACATTTGTTAGAGCAGTTTTCTTCTTTTCCTTTTTACCATAAGCTTCAATTAAATTTAAGGCACATATTTTATATTTTACATATTTGCTATATTTTAATGGGTTGTAATCATTATTATGTAATTCGGTTTTCTCATCAATATCATCATAAATCGTATTGATGTCGCTTAAACATAGCTCTAAAACGTGTTTATCTTTCCCTAGAAAAAAACAAAGCAAAACAAAACCAACAATGTCGACGTAGTGATGTAATATATACAAGTGAGCAGTGTCGACAGAGTGATGTAGAATATACAAATGTTATATAAAATGGATATATTTATATAAAGTAAAAACATGCATACAAAAAAAAAAAAACAGCTTATTTATTTTACCAATTCGTATTCTCTGTATTGGCCTCTTTCCAAAAAGCAGAGATGTTGATGGAATTTTTTTGGGGATGATATTTAACATTTAACAAAAAAAAAAAAAAAAAAAAAAAAAAAAAAAAAAAAAAAAAAAAAGTTAAAACGAGAGTGTAAAAAAAAATCAAAGAAATATATTAATTTGTTATCTCTGTGAGAATCCAAACACAGGAGAAATATGTTTCTTCAAATGTTTTCAGTTATCTTTATGGAAATAAAAAATTATACATATATATATATATATATATATATATAATGAACAAAATAAAAAAATTGACTCTTCCAATATTTTTAAATTCGATTTATAAAAAGGATAGATTGTCCATTAATAATGATAAACATTTTATTTGTTAGTATATACATATGTTATAAATATTATTCTTCCGTTTTAAAATATTTGATAAATAATAATGCTTATTTTCCCTTTTTTTTTTACGATTTGTTCACTTAATAAAATTTACATGTTAATATACAAAATAAAAAAATATATACATATGTAAATATATATTATATATGTACATGTATATGTTCCTAATAAAAGCTTAATTTTTTATTTTTAAATATATTTTTTTAAAAAATTAACTTTTCGGTAATCGACAATGCTCAAGCATTAAATAAATAATACTCTGCTCCTCTTTTACTTCTTTACTCATGTATTTACTCATTTATTTATTCAATTATTTATTCAATTATTTACTTATTTATTTATTCAATTATTTACTCATTTATTTACTCATTTATTTATTCAATTATTTACTTATTTATTTATTCAATTATTTTTTTTTTTTTTTTTTTATTTTACGTGCATTTTATAAGATCATATAATATTGTTTACATTCAAAAAAAAAAATGAGCACTCAGATATTACAGCTTTTGTTTTTTCTACTACGTTTTCGTTAATAATGTGTTAGAAAATGTGTCATTATAATAAAAACAAATTTATTTATTTCAACTTTTTAAATTTGAAAATATAAAAAGTTTATGCGTATGTTAATATGCAATTCCATTAGGGTGTTTTTTTTTTATAAGATTATATTAATAAAAATAATACCAACTTATTTTATTATTATTTTTTTTTTAAGCATTTATATCGATTTTCGGAACTTAAGAAGGTTTTTATTTTTAGCCATATCAATGATAAAAAAAAAAAAAAAAAAAAAAAAAAAAAAGCTTAATATGTAACATACTTGTCTAAGAAAAAAACCAAATAAAATTAGAAAAAATTAAAGAAAGCAATTTCCTTTTGAAAATTTATTAAAAATATACACCTACTTGTGCATGCAACATTAAAAATCATGCCAGGTAATACTTATTTCATCTGATGTTATTTAAGAACTAATGAATAAAAAGAAATAAATAAAACGTATTGACTTTATAAAATGTGAAAAATAAACACTAAATAATATATTCCCTTCTATTTTTCATAAATACATTCGTTTAAAAAAAAAAAAAAAAAAAAAAAAATGTATGTATTTATTGTACTAATGGGTGACCTTACAATACTTAAGGATTGACAAATATAAAATATGTATCTATAAACACATATAAACAACTTTATTTATACATATATTTATACATATGTATATATATACAAACATTACAGTTAAAAAGTATGTACATTTTAAAGGATATTAAGAAAGAAATACTTAATTTTTATTAAAATGCAAATAACAGTGGGAAAACTCATTATCCCACAAACTAAAAATAATACATAAAGGAAACTGCTATTTTGTAAAATACATTACAAATATGTAAAGTAAAATAAAATATTCGAACAGTGTTGAAATATTTGTTTATAAAAATGTTATATAATAATATGCGTATTCCCATATGTATAAATATGCGTATTCCCATATGTATAAATATACTTATTCCCATATGTATGAATATACTTATTCCCATATGTATGAATATACTTATTCCCATATGTATGAATATAC